CGCTGCTCCCCTCAGCAGTGTACTTCATCTATCTGCCTATTCTGCTCCCCACTCTGTCTCTGGTGAATCCTCTCACCCTCCGCATCTCTGGACTATACTCCAGTTCGGTATGAATGAATAAATAAATCTTTAAAAAAAAAAAAGAATAAGAAGATTCAAAAGGAAGCATATAAAGGATCCAGAGGTGATCAAAAGATCATAAAGAAACAACCGAGGATTTAGGCTCTCAGTTCTGGCTGTACCTTCAAATTGCTGTTACTGTTGCCCAGGCCACCTCCAGATCAAATACATCAATCTGGGCGTAGTTTCTGAACACAGCTACATTTCTAAAAGCTCTTCAGGTAATTCTAAACAAAGGCAAGATGGAAAATCATTAATGCTGGATTGTTTTTATTTCAAAGCTGAAAGTGTTGCTAAATGCAGTAAAGGAGCGGAATGTCATTTTAGTGGCTTCCAAAAGAAACTCCATGTAGAAAAGGTCCTTTAAGACTAGGATCAATCCTTGAACAACACAGTTGGCCTGCCATATCCACAAGTATGCATCCTTGAATGTGGTACCTAACAATATATAGGGCTGACTCTATGGAATTTCTGTATCTGAGAATATTTGCATCTGTAGGGAGTCCTGAAACCACCCCCCTGCAGATATCAAGAGGCTACTATAGTTCAATTTTAATGGAGTCAGAAGTTTTATGCAAACAATCGACTGCAGGTGTTGGTGACCCTAAGTCCCTTATTATTCAGAGGTCAAAAATACTTGAAAGGAGAGGTAGAAATGCATTTCAGGCAACTAGGCAGTTCTTGTTGAGTGACCCTAGAGCCACTGCTACATAGTTAGCTGGTCACAGTAGCCACCAAGCACCATGATGGGCACCTAGGAAGGAAGGCTCATCTCTATTTTATGACTCACTCAAGTCATTATCACCCAAAATGAGGGCTCTGCTGAGGATTACCTATTGGCACCAGGCTCCTCATCTTTTATGGCTGTCCCCCTCCCGGGGTAGGTCTCTGAAAGACACTGAGATATAAATATCAAATTCCCACCAGCCTGCATTGAGTGAGTCCCATGCAGGATTCAGTCAAAATTCTGGCTCTTTTTTTTTTCTTCCTTTCAGTGTTTTTTGCATTTTTTGGGGTCTCAAATTATCAATCCTTCTGTTATGCAGGCAAAGCATTAAATACATAGAAGGAGCACACTGACAATCTCAAGCTAAAAATTTCTTTGCACAGAAGACGGGCATTAGAGTTAGAGCCATTATTTTGTAGACTGAGGGAAGCAAAGCCTGGTTTGGGTAAGAGCTGAGATAGAATCCTCCCTCTCTTTCTCCTTGATCCACTCTGTTCTACTGGTTCCCCCAGGGGATGGGGACATGGTAGAATCGACCTGTGTGGAGTGGCAAAGTCTCTGGAGAGACCAGCAAGCCAAAGAGGAAAGTCAGTGCACCAGGCAAAGCTCTAGAACCCACACACAAGCAAGCCTGCCTTCGAACTCTCTATAACACCATAGGCCCAGGAAAAGAGGTGGTGGCCATATCACAGCAGCCTGGAGCTGAAGTGACCAGTTCAAGAAGAGGGAGAAAGAACTAGAACATTGCTCACCTCCCACCCACACACAAGAAGGAAAAGCACGTGAATGGGCCTAGAGAATGGGCCTGGAGCCTGGCTGCCAGGGCCGTGGTCCAGGCAGCATGCCACTCCGAAATGGTTGATTTATCTTCCCCATCTCTCAGAAAAGGAAACCCGAGTCTCACTGAGGTGACATCTTGGGATTCTGGTTGAGATTTGGTTAAGATTTCCTGAAGTGGAGCCAAGGCTCCTGCCTAGTTTTCTTCTTTTTGAGTTCCTGTCCAGCGAAAGAAAACAGTGCAAGAGGGACTGTTTGGAAGCTCCAGATTTTCCAAGGAAGCTCAGACTGAGCGAGTGTGGAGCCCACCTACTTCGTCCCCGCAGGAATCCGAGGAGCCTGAGCAGCAGCAGCGCTCCCAGACCCACATCCCACAGCCTTCTTCCCGGGCGTTTCCCTGCT